AACAAAACTAGATATAACAGAACACAACTACTATAGACACATAGTTGCGAAGCAAATCAAAGAAATTAGCAAAAACAAAGATACAACAAAGATGGAAATTAGCTATGAATATAAAAAGAAAAATGCTAGATAACAAATTAATAGCAACAAAAGCAGACAAAGGAAAAACATCAGTATTAATAACAAAAGAAGAGTATCAACAAAAATAATAAAATGTATACAGGAAAATATTTTTACATTGATCAACAAAGACCCAACACAACAATACCAAAATAATATTAAACAAACAATAAAACTATGCACAAATACAATACAAAAGAACAAAAAAGGAAATACACAAACATGAACCCCATAGCCCCAAATTTACACGCGACAATAAAACTACACAAAAACAACACACCTCTTAGACCCATAATCAATTGGAGAAATGTCCCAGCATACAAAACAGCTATGCTATTATCCAAAACACTACAAGAATACTTACAATTGCCAAACACATATAATATACATAACTCAATACAATTAATGAATGACCTAAACACTATTGTAATAAATGAAAACATAAGATTATGTTCATTTGATATAGAAAACATGTATACAAACATACCTAAGAAAGATATATTGAACATAACCAAAAACATACTACAACACAATCATAATACAGACATAAATACACAAAGAGAAATTAAGTGTATATTGAATACTATACTAGACCAAAATTATTTTCAGTACGAAAATAAACATTACAAACAAACAGATGGTTAGCTATGGGAGCTCCAACATCTGCAATATTAGCAGAAATATACATCCAGAACATGGAGCACACACAAATATACAACATATTAAAAAACCAGAAAATAATTGGATATTTCAGCTATGTTGATGACATACTAATATTGTACGATATAAACAAAACAAATATTGACAACAAGATTGTGGAATTNAATCTAGGCATTTCATACTATATATGCATACTATATATGGGCAACGTTCACATATATAGGAAAAGAAACAAGAAATATCACAAAATTATTTCGAGACACAAAATTAAAAATAGCATTTAGAACGAAGAACAATTTACAACATATATTAAAACGAAGACCAGAAATAAATAAATATAACAATAGGGGCATATATAGTATGAAATGCCTAGATTGCCCCAAGGAATATATAGGACAAACCGGGAGGAAATTTAATACCAGATATAAAGAACACATACATGACATAAGACACAATAACAGCAGTACAGGATACTCAGAACACATATTAAACACAGGACATGCATATGGTACTATAGAAAACACTATGGATAACATAGCAACAGATAGGAAGGGGCAATACTTGAACACATTGGAGAACTATCATATATACAGAACGACAAAGAAAAACACACATATGAATAATATAAATAAAGAAATATATAACCCAATATACCACGAATTACACAATATCTACACAGAACAACATAACAACACCCCACCACCTACCCCCACCACATCTACGCCCACAACATCATAACTTAATCAAAACGAAGACAGCACACACACACACACACACACACACATACCCAGCAGACCCAGCAGTATAACACACGAAGTCACAGGAGCAAGACACAACACAAAGCACAGTGAGTATTAAAAATTATAATACAAGTAATAAATAAAATACGGAACGCGGTATTAATGAATAACAATTTCACGTTCCAGATACACACACGAAAATAGGAGAAGTGCTCCGATAGAAGAGNTAATGCATTTTAAAGTACATTTTACTAACCAGTTAACTGAATTTTGAGGCAGCCAATAGCTCTGCATTCTCAACATGCTGTAAATTAGGAACAAAACCAGTGATTTACATGATTCGTTCTAGTGTCTACCAGCACCTATCAATTTAGCAACATGTTTGGGTTACTAACAACATTCTACTCTCTCAGACTTGAAAATGCATCTTGGTATAAACTGTTACTATAAAATTTCATAAATATTCTCTATCTGCGGGGGTCTCTCGATTGTGGAAACCATATATGTTTTGTTGTGTGTGTGTGAGGGGCATCAATTCTTGCTTCTTTTCTTTAAACACTGAGCGAACTTCATCCAGAGACTGGATCTGCAGAGTGGAATGAGTCTCCTGCTTTTCTGGCAACGGCCAAGAACAGTCATGAGGAAAACATGGCTCTGGGTACCAACAACCTATAGTTGAACCATCATCAATTACTGTGATTTGTTCTCCCAAGTTCCATGATGAAGACCCCTGTCTCAATGACTGAAACGCCTTCCTAACCCCAGAGTTATACTTGAGAACCCTCAACATCATATTAAGAAGCAAATTAATTACCGAAGCACCTTACAGAACAGCTGCTACTAGGTAACCACAGTAACCACGTTGCAACACAAATATGAGAAAACTGGCATGCTCCCTTGCTTGCAAGTTAACTTCTTCAGTTTCTCCTGAAGTTGCATTGCCCTCTCTTCAATTTGTGCTGCTCCCTTCACTAACACGTCTTCAACTCAGGCTAACAATTTCGAACTATAGACCAATTTCAATCCTGCCCATATTTTCTAAAATTCTTGAAACGTTAATGTATAATTGAGTTGTGTGTTTCTTAAATAAATCCAACTTGCTGTGACTGATGGGTGATGAGCGATGAGTTTAAGACGACGTCAAAAAAGTGGAAATTAATGCGGTAGTGGTGGTGTTTACATGCTCAACTGATCGAAACAAATCAAATAGACAAGGAGCATATATGAAAGTTTTAGTGATCCAAAACTCGCGATGCTAGAAGAATTATACTTATCTATATACCTTACACGTGCAGACCATCAGAGTAACTCAATATATCAATATCACTAGTCGAGTAGGATGAGGTTTGCAGGGCATGTAGCACGAATGGGGGAGGCAAGGAATGCTATAGGATATTGGTGGGAAAGCCAGAAGGAAAGAGACTGCTGGGAAGACCAAGGTGTAGGTGGGTGGACAATATTTAAATTTATCCTAGTGAGATAGGATGGTATGGTATGGATTGGATTGATCTGGCTCAGGATATGGACCAGTGGAGGGCTCTTGTGAACACAGTAATAAACCATCAGGTTCTACAAAAGGCTGGAACATTCTTGAGTGGCTGCACAATTGTCAGCTTCTCAAGAAGGGCTCAGCTCCATACGTAAGTTTAATATCACTTTACCCATATCCTTTCGGTTGGATTTGAGTGAAGATCTATTAAACTTGGTCCCTCACCCCCTTTCCAAAAAAAAAAAAATAAAATAACAGCGGAATACGAGCCTCTGCAGCTCTGAAGTACAAGAGATTAGGTTGCAAATTATTTATCTGGAGAAAATTTGTCAGCCGTGCCTGGAAAGTCATAGCCTTTCTTTCACATGAAACACCTCTTTAACCAAAGGCACTGAACATTGTGAACTGTGACATACATGGAATACTTGTATTTAGGAAAGCTGAAGGTGGGGAAACTTGAAAAATTTCTGTATCTATCAGAGATACATATTGTGGGGTTTTCTGTCTGTGTCGTTACTACTATTACAACCCACTTCTTCGGAACAGTTGTAGGTCCTTAAAAGGACCGTTGGGTGCTGAGAGGCGAAGTAGTGCGGCGCGCGCCGGTAGGAAGGGATGGTGGTTGCGGTGTGTGGACTGGACGCAGTGCGGCAGATGGTGGAGGTTGCTTGATCCCAGCGCGGCAGCTGTTGGTGGAAATCTGGCCGTCGAGCTCGGTCGCTGGAGCGGACAGGCGGTAGCTACGCCAGTTGTCCAGTGTGTCGGACACGACTACTGGCGAATCGAGGCGGCCTAGTTGCCCAGTGAGTCGGGTGCGACCGCCGGACAGCCGTGGCAGTCATGCCTGGCGCAGCGAAGCGCCGATGCCTCCATAGACCGAGCGCTGGCGACGAAGTGTGCTGATTGCTTGTAGACTGCTTGAAGACTGCTGATGTACTGAACGAGAACTGACTGTCTTGCGAGCGTTGTGCTGCGCCTTTTATACAATAATCGGTGGGCGGGGCGAAACTTGAAATTGAGGAGCAACATTTTGCAGAGCGTGGTGGTATAAATATGAACGAGACGTCCAGCAATGAGATACAAAAAATGTTTGCGGTGTACTTAATTGCTGCTACTAGCTGTGTGAGAGATGGGATCAGGGAGATCGATTGATTAGAAAAGATTGCCTGTTGTGTGCTGTTGTGTACGTCTGGAGTGAGATTCAAAATGTACGTTGTTGATCCATCCATTGAAGTTATGAGATCAGAGAGATTGTCTGTTTGACGATTCGTCTGGACTCGGTTGTTGAAAATTTTGCCAAGGTGGTGGAAGTTTGGCAAGAGTGAGATTAGTTCGAGTTCGAGAGTTCGAGAGACGCTTACTGAAGGAGTTTTTGAGCTGTCTCAGGTGACCATAGTCTTCGAGTGTGTTTGTCTGCAGCCACCTATTCTGCCACCAATGTATAGTGCGTGGCTAGTGCATCGGAGGCGGTGGCCGGCCCGACTGCAACGGACGAAATGACGGAGCCGACATCTGGCGAAACGCGGTGGAATGCAATCGTCGCTTCCTTTGACAGGAACCACGTAAACTCAAGAAAGAGTAATCCTGACTGCCAGGAAGATATCGACTTACTGGGGAAAGGATTACAAACTACAGGGCAGCTTATCCGTACATCGCCCTCAATAAACAGAAATGGCACAGTATGGAATAAACTTATAACGAAATCCGAGGTCGAGAGGACAGTGCTGTGTAAGCACCTCGACGGCAAGAAGCTCTTTACAGCCACGCTGCGCCTCTATGCTGCCATCCACAGGGAGATGCGAGAGTCTCTCCTATTGGAAGGAAAAGAAGATTCAGCCGAGGATTTTCGCGAGCAAAGGAGATGAAAGCGAAATTCCTCAGGAGAACAGACTAAAAAACCGAAGCAATCACCCAGCCCCAGGGATCCTAGAATAAAATCCAAGAATGAAGTAGAAACAAAGAACTTCTTTGCGCCCCTGAGGACATCAGGGATGGACGTGGAAGAGTCAGCCACCAAGTCGAGAGAACAGCAGCCATCGGACAAGCCAGGTAGACCGCCTCCAATTGTACTAACCTCCACGACAAACCTGATGCAGTTGCAGAGGAAGGTCAAAGAACTAGTCACGGGCAATTTTGAGTTCCGCAACACCAGGAGCGGGACCAGAATTGTCACGAAGGAAATGGCGGACTTCTTAGCCATCAAAAATTTCCTAGAAAGTACCAATCTATCGTATTTTACATTCTTTCCTAAGTCTGAGAAACCCTTCAAAGCAGTTATCCGTCACCTTCCACACAACACTCCAGCGGAAGATATATCTGATATTCTGGTGAGTCTGGGGTTTGACGTTATTAGCGTCAAACAAATGATCAGTCGTCTGACCCCTCCAGAAGGAACAAAAAACACGTACCTTCCCTTGTTCCTTATCACACTTCCTAGAACGGAGAAGTCCCAGGAAGCCTTCCAACTGACCAACCTCTGCTACATTGCCATCAAGGTAGAGGCGTACAGAGCACAGAGCGGGCTCACACAGTGCTACAACTGCCAGCAGTTCGGCCACGTTTGGGCAAACTGCAAGCAGCCCCCACGTTTTCTGTGGAGCGGAGGTGATCACTTACACAAAGAGTGCCCAGGAAAGAAGAACTCTGCCTCCACCCCAGCATGCTGCAACTGCCATTTGTCGGAGGGAGAAAAGCCACACCCCGCCAATTTGTTGTATATGGGTCTACAAAGGATTTATTGCATATAATGATGACATTAAATTACCTGTAGAAATAGGTACAAATACCAAGGTATTGCATATAATTGGATTATTTTAACAGAATATATGTATAAGCTGTGTAAGCTGTATTCTTCCACAAAGTGGTGTCAGCCGGCCGGATATCAATTGAACTTGTGACCCGAGACACTACGTCACATTTGGAGTGAGGGCCCGCACAGCGCTGGGAATAATACAGCAGCCGAGATTGAAGTTCAAGTGACTACTTTTGTAACCATATTTGGGCATAATCCGGGACTCAGTCTTTAATTGTAGTATAAAACCCCAAGGACTGACGCCCCAAGTGCTTTTAGAACATTCAACTAGCTGAGACTACTTGTATGTCAGTCTAATAGTCGGTACTGCCCGTAGCTTAGGCAGATAACCACTTCTACGTTTCCAGCAAGATCCTGTAATACATTTGTTAGTAATAAAACTTCATTTATATTACAACTGCTGAGAGGTACACCCCATTCTGCCTCCCAAGGGATCCGCTCGCCCACGGCCAACCTTATCCCTCAACCGCGGGATACAACAAATTATCGGGGTTGCAAACATGACAAAGAAGAGCAACAGAGAAGGAAGGTTCAGAGAACGTCCAAAACTACGGGAAGGGTGTTCTCTTCAGCCACCGTCACTCCAGGTGTCTCCTTCGCGGCGGCACTTCGAGGCAGTACAGCAGAGCAGCATCAGCGCCCTCAGGAAAGCCATGTTCCGGCGGCTCCAGCCACAACAAATAAGCAGATTTTATGGGCCCCTGCACTGCAGGATGAAACAGGTAAATCAGTTCAAGCTACTAATGTAAACGGTCAGTCTCTGGACAATATGTTGAGAATAGTGCGTGTAGTACAGCAGATGATGACAGAGGTCAGTGGTGCAGTGTCCGAGGAGGACAAAATAATGGCCACAACTAAAATTGTTCTAAACTTAATGAAACAAAATGGCCACTAGAGTTCATAGGCATCTCAAAGTCATAGCATATAATGCGAATGGCATTGGGAGGCAGCGCTATGAGCTCAATAAACAGCTGCAAGACCTACACGTAAATGTGGCCCTGTTTTCAGAGACACATCTGAAACCTCATGAGAGGTACTTTATTCCAAATTACCACTTTTATAGAATCGACCGCCACTCAGGCAGAAAAGGCGGAACTGCTGTTGCAGTGACCTTCATCGGACGAACGTCATCATATGATGTTAAAAGTTAGGGCAGCTGGCCGAACGACATCATATGATGTCGCGCATTCCACGCGTGTGAAGATTTTTTAAAATTAAATTTAAAATATAAATTGTTGTTCTTGTAATGCCGCTAAGGTTACGTACATGTAGATATAGTTTTTGGGGTAAAATTGGAATAATAGTAGCTAGACTGTAAGATTAAGAAATAGCCATGATGAAACGAACCAGGAAGCATAGGTCTACAAAGAATTGTAACCGGGAATGCCTGAGTCATTAGAATGCTAACCCGGCAGTGTAATAGCGCTGACATTGACGAAGGAGCTATATGAAGTGGGTCATAAACACTATGGCAAGAGGAAAACGCTGAGTCAGAGGAGGCGGTAGACCCGAAAGAGTCAGCCCCTTCTCGATGGGCAACCAATGAGAGGGGCCAAAATCACGTCAGAATGGGCAGGCCAACATACCCGGAACTCGAAGAATACGCAAAGAGAGGTTATATAAACCCTAGAAGACTTAATCAAAAAACCTTTTGCCTTTAGACTTTTGATTGATCTTAAGTAACTTAGAGTTCAGGGGAGGCTATCGCCGAGAGAGCGATGGCCGTGAGTGTGCGCTGGTTGCTGATGGCGAGCATCTATTTCCTCATCTCACGTAAGTGAAACCAACTTCATATAGCCATGAACATTAAGTGTAACAGTGATAATTGTAAAGTGTAAAACCACAGGGAAAGATAGGCTAACTAGATTGACTAGGTTCATTCGAGATACCGAGGCGTAGAATACCCGCCAGTAGGGTGACAGGAGGTAGAACCAATGATGACTGCAGGTTCATTATCCAGTGTAGTACAACCGACGAACATCGGTAAGAGTGCATATAGATGTATATAGTGACATAGAGAAATAGAATAGAATAGACATGCGTGTGAGTTTACTTTAACCTAGCAATCCCTTAAGGTTACCCTCTACCTCGACGACTCCAGGACCTCCCAAAGCTCCGGCGAATTACGAGTTAAGCCAGGACAGTGACGCAAGCTATGATAGTTTACGAGATTTCTTGAAAATAACAAGATGGTGGCAGCATACTAAACAGGGTGACAGAGCGGGATATTTCCACACCTCTGTCACCACGGCATAAGAGAGGTGTAGCGGCGGCTTAAGAGAGGTACAGTGGCGGAAGCGGTGGAGGTACCTCCACGCCCCCTCCACGACGTAACATTGGTGGCAGCGGTGGGATACCTCCACGCCCACTGCCACCACGGCGTAACAGTTCTATTTACATGATTTTTGGTCACAACATTTGTAAGGTGACAGCCTTCCCTCCTGCGTGATCTAATGTAATCTACCGACGTCATATGGCCCAACGACCTCATATGATTTCGCGCATTGCACGGGTGTAAAGATTTTTTTAAAAATTAAATTTAAAATTAAATTTTTGCTCTACTTATGTGATATATGTTCACCATCTTCATGAGGAAACAGCCTTCCTCCTGCGTCATCTATGATAATGTGGCCTTCGTATGGTACTGCCGAAAACATTCCGAAATGCAGAGTCCGACGTCGCACCTCACGCACTTCGTACGAACGCTAGACCGCTTCCACGCGAAGAGCACACACGACACCTCAGTTGCGATTTAGAGGAAGCAGGCCAGTGATGTCGACGGGCTTCCTCTAATCTAATCTAATATAATTTTCCATAGTCGGTCATAACTGTCGGCATTCCTGTCAGTTTCTGTACTGTTGTCTGCAAAATGTAGAAAACGAAGAATGTGAAGAAAACGGTCGCGTTTCATTGTGTTGAAGTAGAAAGGCGTGGCAAATTTTTCAGCAGTCGACCAGTAGTCCTTTAGTGTGTCTCTAATGTCATGTCCCATTTGAATGATTATTCATAGAAACAGAAACATCTCGGATTCAGTTACGTCAGGCCGCGGAGATGTTCCGTCTTCAAGTCTGTCTAGGTACTGGTGATAGTACCTATTCGTCTCTTCCACCAGCAGATGGATAATCCCCGCAAAGTACAGCATGAAAACGCAGAGAGGGGTGGAATCCTTATTCACGTGTGGAGCTGCAGTGATATATATCCGCGCAGCTACACCGGAATAATTATTCACACCTCTCCAGCCACACTGGTCTGGCGGTCACCAAATTGCCGACGAAGGTGATGACCCTTCGTCCGCGGAATCAGAACCCCAACTTTCCTCTCCACTCTCAGAATCGGTTGAATAGCAGTCCGAATCTGTGTCATTGAACAGCTGTTTCTCAATTTCAGCATCTTCCATACGACGTCGTCGTGTGGCCATGGTGAACTATACGGCTCTCTAGAAGTGAATCTCTCTGTGCTTAGACCTAGACCAGAAGCCATAAATCATAACTTCGCACCCACACATACAAAAATCTCTTTCACGTCTTGGCTGAACTCAATATCTGCTTCAAACATGCTAGATGATGTCATGGGTGCTAACCTTATATTGAGATATTTCAAAATCGTTACAAACACAATGGTTTGACTGCAATGAATGAAGGAATGACCGATCTGGCAAACAACATATTCAGAGAATGTACTCCTGTGTCTCTCTTACAGACATTACACAGCAAGCGATTTCAGACGCCCACAGTCCTGCATACCGACATGTCCCATACGATAAATAAGCTTCAACAAGAGATAGCATTGAATGTGAGGTGGCCACAAGGACTTACACTGCTGAAACGGACGGTGCAGAAAATGTATTACACTGCTAGAACGCATGGTGCAGAAAATGTATGAATTTCGGGAATTTTTTGGAATCAGTGTAAAATATTTTTACAGATATTAAAATCTGTAAATTAGAATATCTGATTCTATATTCTTTCTAGATTAAAGGAGCGTTCATTTCGTTCGTTTATCATAAAAAATGTAGAAATCAAATCATTTTTAGAAACATGCTTACAATTTCATTGCTCTAGAAGGGCGGGCATTTAAATAAACTCAGTCCAGCTGCCCCTCCCGGAAATTAAACGGCCCGTCCGATAAGGGGTAAGAAACGGCATTCCCCATAACCATGTAGACCTACCACCACTTGTTTCAGTAGAAGTGACAGGGGTCTGCATACCAATTGGTAATAGCGAAGTGCTGCTTGCAGCAGTTTACAAATCTCCAGGCAAAGCCTGGAGTGATGCTGACATCACTGAGCTCTTAAGCTTCAGATGAAAGTCTATTTTGACTGGTGATTAGAAAGCTAAGAACCCATTTTGAAATAGCAGAGTTTTAACCCCTCAGGTTTGAAACTTATAGATTTATTTGATATTGGTGATTTCGAAATCTCAGCACCACAATTCCCCACTCATTATTCCCCTGCGGGAAAAGGTGACGTGATAGACATTGTGGTTCACAAAAATATTAGAATGTCGGATGTCGTCGTCTCTGATATTTTGGACTCAGATTACCTACCAGTAGTATTCCACATACTGGATCACGTTAAAATTAGGAATCTTTCGGAACCCATTGAAAAATTTACAGATTGGGAGCGGTTTCAAAGCCTCGCTTCTGAATTAATATCACCTAAACTAGAAATTAATTCGGGGGTAGAAGCCGATAAAGCGGCACGCGACTTTGCAGCCTCTATTGCTTCGGCATATAGGCTGTCGACAAGTAAAGTTACACTTTCGGACATAAACAACGATCTTCCTGGTCTAGATCGTTTGATAAAATATAAACAGAGGCTACGAAAACTGCAGCAAGAGACCAGGGATCCAGCGTGTAAAACGGCAGTGAATTGGGTCACCAAATCAATCAGGCCAATGACCCGTAAAGAGTCACTTGAACGGTGGGAAACAAAAACAGGTAACGCTGAAATCACACCTCAGAGTATATGGCCCATTACGAAATCTCTCCTTCAGAGAGACGGATCAAGGGGACCAACTGCCATTCATGGTTCTTCTGGCCTAAAATTTCATTCTTCTGAGAAAGCCAAAGAAATTGAAGACTGTTTGGAAATTCAGTTCATGCCACATGACCAATGCGACGAAAACCACGAAGAGCGGGTGGAGGCTAGAGTTCAAGCTCTGCTGGAAGCCGAGGATGAAAACCCCCCTCTAAGGATCAGGCCATGTGACGTTCAGAAATTAATAAAATCACTTAAATTAAAAAAGCCCTGTGGAATTGACGGCATCCCAAATGAATGTCTCAGGCACCTTCAAGGCGACCATTGGTTCACCTAACTCATTTATCCAATCACTGTTTTCGGCTCTCTCATTTTCCAAATACTTGGAAGGAAGCAAAAATAATAACTTTACCTAAACCGGGTAAAGACTCGAAATTTCCTCAAAATTTACGTCCGATCAGCCTCCTGTCCACGACAGGAAAACTATTTGAAAAAGTAATTTTGAAATTCCTCCGTAAACATATTTAAGGAAGAGGCCTGCTCAACGCAAGTCAGTTTGGTTTTCGTGCACGTCACAGTACGACATTGTAGTGTATGAGGCTGGCGGACCACGTGACCCTTAATTTCAACAATAAAATGTCTACGGCTGCAGTGTTCTTTGACATAGAAAAATCCTTTGATACCACGTGGCACGCAGGCTTGCTGTTTAAGTTATCAAAATTGGAATTTTCTAACAATTTGACGAAGCTTAATGGGTCCTTTCTTTCTAAACGTAAATTTAGGGTCTCGGTTGAAGGCGAAATGTCAACGCCAAGGGAAATGCAAGCAGGGGTGCCAAAAGGTTCGGTCCTTTCCCCTACGCTTTACAATTTGTGTATAAATGATGCCCCCCAAACACATCGTTTTCACCTGGCCCACTTTGCGGACGACACCTGTCTATATGCGACAGATCGCAAGGAGGGTTTTGTTGTTAGAAAACTACAGCGCGGTCTCACCTCAATTGAGACCTGATGTGAGCGCTGGAATATAACAATTAATTAAGATAAGACTCAGGGGGTCTACTTCTCTCGTGGTCGTCGACCGCCTGAATCTTGTCTTACTCTAAATGGAAGAAATATTCCATTTGTAAATAGTGCAAAATATCTAGGTGTAATCTTCGATAAGAGAGTGACTTGGAGATTTCACATAGGAATGATAGAAGCCAAGGCCTTCAGAACATTCATTAGAGTGTATTCCTTATTAAAAAATTAGCGATTGAGCGCTAGCATTAAACTTATGACTTATGCTAGTCCCGCCTGGGAGTTTGCGGCAGACACTCATCTAGTGAAATTGCAGCTTCTGCGAAACAAGGTTCTCCGCACGATTGGCAATTTTTCAAGGCGCACACCGGTCCGCGATTTGCTCATGTCATTCAAAATCCCGTACGTATATGACTTTGTAACAAAATTATGCAGGCAACGAGCAGAAGTCATACAAAATCATGATAATGAGAATGTTCGCAACATCGGACAAGGCGAAGCCCGACACAAAAAGTATAAGAGGCTTAAACTTTGCGGCGGTCAGGCATACGACCGTTCAAGTGACTAGACTGCCCTGGTAATGAATAATACTGGAAATACCGCGTAATCTGCTGTACTGAGACTGGACTGACAGAGGCCTATTATAAATGGTACATAAAAGTAAGAAATAAGTTTGTATTGTAAATCTATCTAATACAGACAGTGGACATATTAAAACAGACTGACTGACAAATGACAGACCCGACCTCTCGTCAGAGAGGGAGCCCCTCACACAGACAAGACAGTAACTTTCATTCATAAGAAATATCTAGTCATGAGCTCCAGCTGGGTCTCGACACCAAGACAGACAGACTAAGTGACCGTCAGTTGTAACACGACTTTGACTTTGGCAATGCGATATTCACGAAGGAGTGAGTGTTGTCTAAAAGACCGGTGGAAACAGCGTGCTATGTGGGATGTCCCCACAAAACTAGTGAAATACTACATTTGGAGCATTGCTCTGTATGGGGCTGAAACATGAACACTTAGGGCAGTAGATCAGAAACTTCTGGAAAGTTTCGAAATGTGGTGTTGGAGAAGGATGGAGAAGATCAGTTGGACCGATTGTGTGTGATATGAAGAAGTGTTAATTATAGTCAGTGAGCAGAGGAATATCCTACACGAAATAAGAAAACGGAAGGATAATTGGATTGGTCATGTTTTACGCAGAAACTGCCTTCTAAAAGAAGTAATGGAAGGAAAGATAGAGGGGCGGATAGAAGTGACAAGAAGACGAGGAAGAAGACGTAAGAAGATGCTGGATGACCTTGGGGACAGAAGAGGATATTTTCATTTCAAGGAGAAAGCTCTAGATCGCATCAAGTGGAGGAAAAGTTTTGGAAGAGACTGTGGACCTGTCGTCTGACAGATTACTGATGATGATGATGATGATACCAAGTATCCCGCAAACGGATATTTCGTCTGTAATGTCCCATGTGGCGCAGTTCAGTGTTCCGCAACCTTTTCTTCTCGCGGCACACCATGAAGTATCCATGACTGAACACGGCACACCAAAATGTTATTCCCTTCAAATACACATGATATCAGACAATTAATATAAATACGTAACGTGATGAACTTATTACTAAAATATTATTATATTGTTATTTTATATCATTAAACAGAAATCGACTCGTGCATTTATTAACAATGAATGAACTTTAATTCACTGCAGAGTGTAGAAAATACACTTCTATTACTATTAAAGTAAATGCAGTAATTCTACTCATACCCTCATGTGATACTAGTGTGATACTTGCGCCTGCTTAGCTGCACCCAGGCGACCAATGGATGGCAACTGGGATGGTGGAAAGGGAAACACAGTATCTACTGCCTCTAAGAGCGAAGGCAGATACTGCACGCAGGTTTCGACCAATCAGAGGACCTAAACAAACCAATTTGAATTCCCGCAATTATATGCGGTAATGGTGGATCAATATAGGCAAATTGGTAAGTATGAATTTTGATTTGATATGGTTGCGAAACGAAAGTAGACATTTGCAAACGAAATTACAGCTCCATATTAAACATATTATTTGTGGATATAAATATTATGCTTACTACCACAAATTAAATTAGAAACATATAGAATTTTTGAAGCCCAAAATTTTTGAGGTTATCGTTAACTGTCATCTAAACGATATTTGTTTTGTGATATGTTCTGCAACTCGGTTTATCCCAAAGATTGGCTGTTGAATGTGCAGTTCTAAGAGTACCGTGATGGTGTTATAATTTTTGTATTGCTTTTTGCAGTATAGACATGAAAAGGAAAACATGGGCTGCTGCTGGGTGCTTGTCATCCAGCAAGCAAGGCATCAAATTCTTCAGCTTTCCAAGGGATCCAGCACGGTGTGTCTGTTTTAATTAATGGTGTTATTACTATGTGTTGCTTAATCCAATGAATAAATTAAGTTTAGTGTATGTCTGCGTTAAATTTATTCAACATAACCCAAAATTTTAGAATGTGTACCAAGTTTGTAATGTTTACTGAAGAATTATTTCTAGGTTTTAAGACTATTTGTTCTACTTCTACAGGGCTGCGGTATGGGCAGGAAAGGTTGGAATAAGCTTCACTGTTGATTCTGCTAGAATGCTGCACAAAATATTTATGCAGCAAACATTTCCTGGAAAGTGATTTCACTACACATTGCAGCAAGCCACAACACCGTATTGGCTACAGGTAAGGACCACTGCACTCTATACTATGAATTATGTTCTGTTATGAGAGAAGTTGCTAGCGAGAATAATGAGAGCTAATTTTTGAAGTAATTGTCCCAAGAAGCCAGTTGTGATCAAAACAATGTCATTGTCATCATTCATTACTTACGAAACTGTACATCAATATACAATTTTATTATAAATCTTATTTTACTGTCATATGTGCAACTTTTTAAGTTTTAATTTAAATTAAAATTAATAAATCGTTTCACATAAGACTGTAAAATAAGATTTATAATAAAATGGAAGGGTGCAACAGGATGCTACAATACAAACTTATCAATACACAAGTTATGTAGGATATGTCAAATGTTTTTAGGGTAATTAAAAGTGTTTGAAAAGCAGATCACACTATCAGTAATATGATTCATAAGAGAATAAGGTGGTGACGACTGCTATGAGGAATAATTTAATGAAATACACAAAATCTTTATAATGGCAGTCCCTTTCAAGTAAAGTGTGTTATTTTAAAATCTGAAGAATTCCGTCATGTAAGGAAGCCCACTAATTTCCTTTTTAATATTCTTTCAGTGGGGTGCTGTGGTGAATACCTGGCAACAGCTGTTTGATGATCACCTTGTGAACACATTTGAAGCTATTCGTTCGTAGTCTGGTTTGAACAATAATCCAACTGTGAGACAGTTTGTAGATGCCCTGAACACTAACATCATCAGTGCACTTGCTATCAGAGGTCTGTGTGGAACTAGTTGTGAGGATGATGGTGCTACTGTTGTGTGTAACCTACAGTCATTGTTCAGGGCACCTGATGCTTCTTCACCAAAATCTGTCCACAAGTTGTGGCAAGGAAACCCCTGATGAAGTTCCTGAGTTTCCATGTTACTCAACAAGGTTGCTGCAGTACATGCTGGTGACAGGAAAGTGTTCTCAGTAGCCTATGTCAGTGGTTCCATTGCCAGACAGATGCTTCGTGGAGTCAGTTGTGATGCACACAAGACATGCATGACATCTGAAGTGCTGCTATCAGCCAGTGTCTTCATATATTTCTGAGACGTTGGTGTGGAGACTGTTGGTAGGCTGTAATTCTAATATAATGTATGATGGTAGGCAATTCAATTCATGTTGCAGCATATCACAGCTGCCATTAAGAGCTCCATTGACTTTGAGTGGATTAGGTGTACTGGTTGTTCACTTCACTACAAGGAATAGTAGATGGTATTGTGAGATGTCTCACAAGAATTTACATTCCTTGGTGGTGTAAGCGAACAAACAGGTTGATGACTGAATCAGCCAGCAAAGGGCCACAAAAGGGAAGAATAAGATACTGACACATCAGTAAGTCATTAGGAAAGTAATGCTTCTTCATCTTTGCCTTGTAATATCCTGCCCATACCAGCCCTGGAAATTGGCAGAGAGCAGTTATTGAATTACTGGAATAATATATTCCAATTGCTCACAAGAGCATCTATAGATGTTTCATAAGTTGGAGAAAGTAACCCTGATGACAAGCAACTGCAACTACCATGCCTTCACATGCTCTTGTCTCAAACCTCTGGTATTGAATAATTTGTTGATAACATTGTCACCTATAGTCAGATTACATACAAGAAACCTATTCTGATCTTGAGCTCCATCTCTTTCATGCTTTGCAGACCTGTTCCCTTCTTCCCAGTATATTAAAACATCCTTCTCAGAAGATGATCAGAGTTCATTCTGCCCTCTGTCTGAAAATAATAATATTTCAATCGAGAATTGTGTGGGAAATTCTTTTCTGACTCAAATGGCTCTTGTTTATATGTGGGTAAGAATGAAGTGGCATTACTTTATGATTGACTTGCAATCTTCAGTTTCAGCGTTAAATGCTGAGGAGCTGAATCAATGTCAGGATTCAGTGTATATTTTGTAATTAAATTTATTAACTGCTTCCTAGGTAAAAAGTTTTACTTATTAGTGTCTACATATTTTATTCATCTAATTTGTTATTATGGGTATATCCCTTCAGTCATTGCATCATTTTGGCCATATTATTGTGTTCAGCATTGATCTTATGAACATAAATATATAAACATCAGATTTTTAATGCTCATTATATTCCTTTAGTTATTTTATTATTTTGGCCATATTATTGTGAACATTTACATATTTAAGATTTTCAAGGTTCATTATATTGCTTCAGTTATTTTATTATGTTGGCCATATTATTATGTTCAGCATTGAACTTGTGAATATTTACATATTTAAGATTTTCAGGGTTCATTATATTGCTTCAGTAATTTCATTATGTTGGCCATATTATTGAACAAAACATAATGAAATTACTGAAGCAATATAATGAACCTTGAAAATCTTAAATATGTAATGTAGCACGAATGGGGGAGACGAGGAATGCGTATAAGCGTGGGAAAGCCAGAAGGAAAGAGACCACAGGGAGGACCAAGGCGTTGGTGGGTGGACAATATTAGAATGGATCTTAGAGAGATAGGATGGGATGGTATGGATTGGATAGATCTGGCTCAGGATTGGGACCAGTGGAGGGCTCTTGTGAACACGGTGATGAACCTTCACGTTCCATAAAATGCTGCGATATTCTTGAGTAGCTGCAGAATTGGCAGCTCCTCAAGAAGGGCTAAGCTCCATGAGTAAGTAAGTAAGTAAATAGTATTGTGTTCAGCATTGAACTTATGAACGTCTCACAACCCTATGGGTCTTCACGGCCAGGGATAGCTCTACTTTATTTACTTTACTTTTACATATATATATATATNNNTTACAGAATCCACATATTCCTGCCAGTTTTAATATGTATTTTGTAATCAACAAGTGTGTAACCCCGGTCAAAGTTTGACACTTCTCGGGCCATTATCTCCGTAACCGTTCAACTTTGGACATAGGTGTTTTGGGTTATATCGGCATACTTTAACATAAGGAACACCCTCCCGAAGTTTGGCACATTCCTCCTGGGACACCCTGTATATATATATATCAGACTTTCAAGGTTCATTATATTTATAATGTGTACGTATTAACCTCTTTTAGTGCATATAATTTCACTTGTCACTTCACACTATATGTTTCGGCATCATTCTGCCATTCTCAGGTGTATTAATCACGTTAAACCATTGCACTGCATGCCTTCAAGTGTCCATTTATAAAATGATATAAAAGTGTGTTCATCGTTGTTCAATAATAAAATTTATATATCTATCATCTTACGTTTCGTATATCAAACTCGTGTGTAATGCCATTCTTCCTCTATGGGAGTCATTCTTCTTATGTTTTAATTGTGTATAAACTGTGTCGTATGATGTGTCTTTCATATGTGGCTGTGTGCGTTGTATTGCTGGACGTATGTGTGTGTAAAAGACGGTTAATATATACACATTATGGATACAAATCATTGCAACAGGACACTAAAATACAACATTCATTATTTTTCTTCAATTAATTTATTATTTTGGCCACATTATTATGTTTAGTATTGAATTTGGAAACATGAGCATGTTTCAGATCATGATGTTTGTCAGAGTTCTGCAGTTATTTTATTGCTTTTCATACACTAACGAATGCAATCTTGATCTTGTTAACAAAAGTGTGTAGCAGATTCTCGAGTTTCGTTATACTACTGAAATTAATAACCAATGGAAACCTCAGTATTATTACTTCCTATACATGATTTATAGCACATTAATGTAACTGAAAAGCTGTGTTTTGTGTAGCTTTCAATTACAAGTTGTAAGCAAAGTTATGAACTTGAATACAAGTATCTCTGATGGAAACTGTAACCGTCCAGCCTTTATGTTGGGCTCCACCTCTTCTCTCTATAACCGTCCTTACCTCACCTTCACTCCCCCCCCCTTGTTGGTTGGTTAGTCACGCGTTGTTCGTCACTCCTCTCCTTTCTTCTTCTTCTTCTTCTTCTTCTTAGGTTGGGCACCAGTAAGCTCAGGTGGTGTCGGCTTAAGATAGTCGGAGGTTTATTTTGGAAAGGGGGTAAAGGTGATAGTCAACTAGTTCAGCTGTGGGTAGAGCTGGGATCCTTCTCAGAGCGTTTGCTAGGGCCTCGCTTAGGACGGGGAGGGAAGTAGTTGGTTCAATGCTAATTTACACTTAAACACTGTGACCATTTATTGAGATCATTACTTCCCTTCACCTTATGGCACACGCGCGCACACAGTCAATACAAAGAATGCTTATATATATAGGTCCTTGTCTAGCACAGTCCTGGTGTAACAGACATTAGTATTACAATTTACACTTTCTTTAGCACTCTGAATTTGGTTATACAGAACAGCGAAAAACACAGATTTTGTTTCCGAATTGTTTACGAGTATCAGGCACTTGGCGACTGTTTGGCAACTGTTTGTCAACTAACTTGTGACTCTTCGTCTGAAAACACTGAAGTCCCCTGGACGTCAGTTCCTCTGCTAAGTAACTCCCCCTTAATTCCACTGATTGGGTAATTTTGAGAACTGGGGTTTACACAATTTCTGAATCTCCAATCAGCTAGCTGCAATTTGGGGCTTTGAACCTTAAAGTCCTAACGTCGATTTCGACAGTACACTGCCAGATAACCTGCTTGGCGTGGGTTTCAAAAGTGCCTACTTTTAAGTTACGACGTGCAGGACCTGTCAGTGATTGAATTCTAAAAGTTTGCCGCCGTGCTACTCACAAGCAAAATTTCTCACAAAAAGCCACAGGGGGTGTTTCCTATGTAACATCAAGATTTGGAATAAGTCCATTCCTGAAAACAAGAATGTGACTATGTCCCACTGGCTTTGGTATTACTTGTTACCTGCACTTAATTTTTATTACTGATTATTCTAAATATACTTAAATTAGTGAGTGACAGTGGAGCGGTTACAAAACAGAATTTTCTTCAAGTTTACCCACCATCAGCTTTCCTAAACCCACGTATTCTATATATGTTACATTTGAAATATCCATTGCATTTCAGTAAGGGGGTGTTGAATTTATGTAAATGAAATGTTCTTATTTTACAGGCACTGGTGAGAAACTTTCTCCCAATAAATAATGTTGCAACCTGATATCTTGTACTGCAGAGGTTCTTACTCCATTGTGTGTTTTCTGTTTTCGAACTGAGTTTGATATCATTTAACTCATTCCCCTCCAGATGGTTTTGAGCGAAGTGATATTAAACTCAGAAAACACACAACTGAGCAAGAACCTCTGCAGTACAAGATATCAGGTTGCAACATTATTTATCTGGAGAAAGTTTCCCACCAGTGCCTGTAAAATATGAACATTTCATTTACATCGATTATTATTTCTAGCTACAGTGTGAACCAGTAATTTTTTGGGAGGGAGCAGTAAAAAAAATGCTGGTAGTATAATAGCATACTTTCTTACCGACAGGGCAGGTGGTATGATAGCATACCTTCTTACCGACCGAGCCCTCGGCACTGGCGGCACGTATTTTTTCTATCAATAGAGCTGCCTCCGGGCACCGTGGCAGCAGTGATGCTTCATGACGTCAAGGCGGTTATGTTGCCCGCCAATAGCATTGAGTTACATCCCCCTGCAGGCGACAAAGGCGACTGATCCGTGGTGGAATCGTTGACAACGCAAGTCTCATTTCTTCATCGATAGATTTGAGCCCCTCCCTCTTTGATATCTTAATTTCAGTTAACGTCGAGAAGCCCAGTTCACACAAATATGTAGTTGAAAATGGCAGTAACACATTAACTGCCACCTCGGAGATAGCCGGGTATCCACTGTAACCGCACTATTGAAATCCCTCCCCCCCTCTTTTTTATTTCAGTAGCTCATCAAGTAGACAATAAGGATTACGAAGAAACAAAGGTTTAAGACACACAGTCAGAACAAGCAGTAGGCGATGAGCAGATAGACCGGACTTGCGCGGATAAGGACATCTGCTAGTCCTTGCGTCCAAGCATCTGGTGTTGTTTTCGAAAAGGGCAGAAATGATACTTCAAGGAACCCAACTGAGTTTNGCTTATCTGAATCAGCCTATCAGGGAATTTAGGAGGAGGAGAGAAGAGGCGGATACAATTCAGTTAGGACCTCTGGCTCGGCAGATAGTCCAGTTTAAGATTTGGAGTCTGCTACAAACTTTCGAACTTGGAGGAGGCAAACCCCGCGATTATACTTGCTTGTTAAGTTAAATAATTCTTAGAAGTGCAAAATTTGACCATAACATAAAAGAGATCTAGCTTAATCCATAAGCGGACGCTGGTAAGTCGACCTGATCGGGTAATTTGAGCAAGTGCAACACCGGCTGCTTGGAAGCCGAAACTAGGCCTGATTGTGTGGATTTATACCGCCGAGTGACTAAGAACACAATAAAGTGTTCTAGTGGTACAGTGCATTGTGTTGGTTAGAAGTGTTTCACCCTCACTTGTCCGAGCCTGACCTTTAGCCGACCTGAGGAGAGACTCATCGCCAGGAGCTAGTCAAACCCATCGCCAGCTTCCACCCACTCACGCCTTCCCTCTTTTATAATGAATCGCAAACCGCACCTAGCTGTTTGCTGGCGCCCATAACATCAGGTCCTATCCTCAAATTCCAACCCCCGTAATCAGCAACGGAAGGAGGAAGCGGTGGAGCCGGCTCAAGTTGGAACCAGCCACGACCTAACTTCAGCAGCGGCAGCACCAGGCAGAGCAGTCAAAGGCGAACAAGACGGACGGTAAAAAGAGGTGGCCACCAACTTGTGGGCTAGAAGCCTCAAGGGAGGACGGTTAAACCACTCCTTATTGCCAACCAAAACGTATCCAAAGGCACTTGGAGAAGTTTAAGTTTCAATGTTCTGTCTGCTTTTAAATCTGCGAGTTCCTCTTGTATATCAATTAGAAGATGTTCTGAATTCACAACAAATGGATCATGAACCCAGACAAAATCTTGTACACTCTCCAAAATACTTATTGAATTTCTGCTGCAGCATTTCTAAATGTTCTTTAATTGTGTCCACCGCCACTTTATTGCCGTCAGCAAGTGGCATACAGTCGGGGACATCTCAAACAACCCATCTGTAATTCTCTAACTAGCAACCAAAATTTTCGAACTACTTCAGAGCACAGGTGTGACAGAACTGAAACAATTGTAAAACACGGAATCTCTACTCTTCAAACGGAAGAAGTGACACTATA